AATAGAAAAATGAATCTATAAAATGAAAACTGTTATTAATTCTTACCGAAATTATAGCGTGTAATATCCTCAAACGTACGATGGACGTGGTTCACAGTTGGTGACAGAAGGGGTAGATGTCTGTCAACCCCAGCAAAACTGTGGTAATCCCCTTCACCAGAAGGAGAACTTTGGACGATCTAACGCCATTTTCCCTTAATGGTGAGGTCATCCCTTTTGGAACGGAGGTGAAATATCTTGGCATTGACTTGGAATGCTCACTTGGAGAAAGTTTTACAAAAATTCAGACTGTCCCTATGAACATATCGAAGGGATTGTGGTAAAACTTAAGGTTTAGATCCCAAACAAATCCATTAGATATACGTGATGATTGTCAGAGCAATGATCACTGGTGGCCAAAGGCTTCACAAAAAACGGCTCAGGCGAAGCTCTCTGGCTTACAGACACAGGCTTGTCTGGTCATCAGTGGTGCCATCAGTACCACATGATCAGCGCCCATGGAGATCCTTCTAGAACTCCCTCCTCTCCACATACTTCTGTAGAGAGAGGCTTGATGGACTGCACAGAAGGCAGTTTTAAGAGCAGATAGTTGTTGGTTCACATATGGATCAAAAACACCTTCGGGCTCTGGTGCAGGTGATTTCAGTTTCAGACCAAGAACAGAGATATAACCCTGCCTAGGAATCTATGTGACTGTATTTCAAGTGGAAATCTATGCTACTGAATTGTGTGTGGAGAGATTGGTAGAATCCAACCTCACACACAAGTCGATGAAAATTTTCTCGGATAGTCAAGCGGCGTTGGAAGCTATTGACTCCTACTGGCCTAGAAAGCAATGAGGCTGCTGACGACTCTCTTGCAAAGGCGAGTGCTGCAAGTAGTTTCATCGGACCAGAACATGTCTTTGTTATTGCTTTAGATTTTGCCAAACAAACATTAAACACCTGGATGGCAAGAAGGTTCAAATATTTCTGACAAAATCTTCAAGGATTGCCTCACTCCAAAGCGATCATTCACCCTTCGAACCTTGAAACCAAACTGTTATTGGACTACAGCAGGGATGAACTACCATATCTAATAGGCCTCCTTACAGGTCACTGTCGTCTGAATCATCATATGCAGAGACTCGGACTGTCGGAAGGCAGTGTGTGTCGAAAAATGATGAAACAGCAAAGTATTGTATACTTTGTGCCTGCCCCGTTGCGGACCGAATCAGGTTTTCAGAGTTTGGTAGAACCACACTTCTACCATCTGACCTGAAAGATCACACACCATATAAACTATTTGGCTTAGTTGAGAAGCTGGGTTTATTCAATCGAGTTTAAATAGGTGTGAGCCACAATAAACCCTTGCGGGTTGCGGTGGAGGATCAAATAGGCCAACTAGCTGTATAAAAAATTGATAAAATAATCGACACATTGGGGCGAAGCTTTCCTTTCGATGAAACTGAACTGTCTCGAAATTGAAAAGTACACGGAATTTTCAGCCGTGTAACGAATCCAGTCCGGGCATTAATTCTCAACGTCTTTTTTGTGGCTTTTCTGCTCATCGCTCGGTACGGGTGATTCCTCTCAAAAAAAATAAATTGGTGATGATGAGATTGGCACATCAATGAATTAATTCATTAATTCAAAGAAAAATACTGGATACAAGGACATGAAAGTTCACGATACTGAATGGGCCGCTTGATTCTACTATTTCTCGATCGAAGAAAATTTAAATTCGCAAGGAAATTAACCTCATCAAAAATGTTCTTGGGGATAATGATTATCCAAAAAATGTTCAAAGACAATTCTGAATATTGAAAATTGAATTGATTCCATTTATCATTACAATACGATATAATTACAAATATGATCATAAATTCACAATAACCGCCACTTTCTTCAAAAACCTTACTTCCTTGGTGTTTCTAAATTCAACATCCAAACTATTTTCAGAACTGAAAATCATCAAAGATCGTCATTACGTAACTCAAGCAAAACCGGCAAACATAGAACAAAAATAAAAAACGATGTTTATCTCTCTCTCTATTTTGGATGGTCGTTGCTTTCTATCTTCAGGCGCATTTGACCAATGCTTTTTCTTTGATTAATAAAAACAATTTGGTTTTTATGGAGTCGCCTCCTGCTTGGGAGACTTTTTGGTTTTTTTTTCCACATATATAGCCCTCTTTACGTGGTTATCTGAACCACCCCGGCCTGGATACCGGCGTGAATGAAGGGGGTCCTTTATTCATCACTTTTTTTCAATGACACTCACACATTTCCGTAATTAACATAATCGACTAGCACAACACAAAAACGGAGTTCCACGATAGCACATGACATCTCCGTACCTTCTTTGTGAGCGGAAGTTATCAGCACATCCGTCCCTAACCACGGCCACCACGGAACTCCACAAACGGTGTTTATAGTGTTTGTTCTGTGTGCATTGTTACAAAATTTTGATATCGAAACTTTGGTTATTCGGCCTAGGTAGCCATGGTCTAATGGAGAGAATAACTCCGAACGTTGATCCACAAATATGAAACAGTATCGGAGGTTTCTCTGCTTCATTTTCATATCATTCGAAATGGAGGCAGTATCGCAAAAAATTAAATTTGACAATTCTAGTTTTTGGCGAATATTTCAGAAACAACCACTCATTCTCGATGTGAAAAGAGATTATTCTAGATGTCCAAACTAGAAAACCTTCGTCCGATTCAACCGACCTTGTAGGTTTTACCTCTTCCGAGATAGCAATAGTGTGGAATCAGCTAAAAAACGGCCTGCTGTTCGTACTGATATACGCTACATATTTTGGTATAACGTAAGACAAGGACAATTATATATAACATAAAACAAAGACAATTTTCAAAGTTACTCGAGTCCCTTTCAAATACATTTCCGCCTTGATATAAAGTTAATTTTATTTTATAAATGACGTGAAATATTTCACTTTCTATGAATGATGGTGAATGCCGTACCAACTATCGAGTTACGTAACTTCGGCTAGTTGGTATGCATTTGAAGAGAATGTGTTTATTTTCTGATTAAAGCATTACTCAATGATAAACGTTGTAACCGTATGAGAAAATTTGTAATAATGTGGTTATTTTCCAATCAGCGATTATCTGTTGAAAGAATCGGATGACAGACGTCAGTTGCCTTTTATTATACATTAAATCACTAAACAATTCCATAGAAAACATATGAAAATGGTTAACTATTTGATGTAAAGTTTACGCCATTGAAAGCAAGACAAATTTGAGTCGACACCCACCTATTTGGAAAATTGTTGGAACCTTCAACACATGTCAATAGATTTGAGATTCGAATTTTTGGAAATTTCAAAGCTAGTTCAAATGAGTGAATATATGACTAGATTTTTTTTGACCATACAATACATAATGGTAAAATATTATAGGTGTTTGATAAAGCAATGAAAATGATGAAAATAAATCGTGATTTGTTTTAAAAAACTCACCACTGATACAAATCACCAGAGCAATTTCTGGCAAGTTTTAGGTGGAGCTCAGAGGAAACATATATCCATTATAACGTACATGAACTGCCCAGATAATTAACGTTTTTAATTCAATAAAGAATTGATATCTCTTCCATCTAAATTGGTTTCTATTTATCACATTAAAATGGGTTCATTAAGTTATTTTTATGCCATGAAAGACTTTTCTGTAGACTTATGAAAGACTAACAATACCATCATACATTGTTATAACATTATTTTCATCTATTCCATCAGTGGATATGACAAAATTGAAATGATAAAATCACTAAAAATCGCGGTTGAACATTTTTACGATGAAAATTAAATTCAACAGAATAACCCAGCTGATGAGTTTACATGCCTTTAGTCAACACCATTTTGTTACATAGACACTCCAAATTCTAAATTACATATTCTCGGGATTGTCGGGAAACAAACAATGTAGAATCAAACTTCTGTGGATATGCTTCATTATATGCTTCATTTTTCTCTTATCGAATTGGTACAGCTCCTCCCGAATCAACTTCACTACTTTAAAAGAGTGGAGTGAAGTCTAAGCCACAAGGATATTTATAGCAACAACTGTGTTTTTTCCGAGAGTTCCGTTAATACAATCTGCTTAAACTTTTCATGGAAACAGTTTCCTATTGTGAACGCTTCTTGTGAGTGGAGTTACGAATTGTATCTTCTCTGCGTGTTCCTCTCATCATTCTGTTATACAATTTTGACATTTGTCTACTCCAAATTCCATTCGAACAACTCTAAGACTGATGAAAATCTTTCCTCCTGCGGCATAAAATGTTCACCAGTTTTCCTAGGTACCACTAAAAATGACAATAATGGGACGGAAAAAATCAGGAGCTGAGCTAATCACCCTAAAACACACTTATTCTGAAGGAAACGTGATCTGTTTAGGTCAAGCTGCACCTGAACAAATACATGAGGAGTTCATGTGGTTGCATAAAATATCTGGTGGTAATCGAGCCAAGTCGTAGAGAGATTACGTTTACATTTGAAAGAGTCCTGACTGTGAGGATCAGGTTGTTTTTCTGATCTTCTCATTGGAAACATTACCAATGAAAGGTCTTTATCCAAAACTTCAATAACTTGTCATCATTACCTTTGAAATTGAAACTTGCATCGTGAGTCATCCATTCGATAATTATAGTTGCCTTTCGTTTTGGTCTACTCAAATGTTTTTATTTCGTTTAGCTCTATAGATATATACCTCAATCTAATAGCATCCCAATAGCAATCACTAATTTATCATTTTCGATTTCCTCAAGTTTTGAAGTGTCCCGATACATGAAACCTGATTCTGAATTTACAAAGCCTGTTAAGCAATCATAGCAATATCAGTTTTGGGGACCTATGAATCATTCCCACATGTGATGAAACATAAATATTTTTCATAAATATTATTCGATTCGAATATTCAATACATTATAATTTCATGATGTAAATATTTGATAACTTAGATGATGTAAACAGTTTATTTTTTTTTCAGGGAAGAATATCTCTTCAACGTTTTCGAAGCCATCATTTCAACACTCGAATCAAAACTTCAGAGGATAGAAAACTTAGACAAAGCTGTGGAACATCTGATGAGGAGAGTAGAAGGCTTAGATACTAGAGTAAATAGTAATATAGACAAAACAGAGTCAGTAATAACAAAATTGAGAAATTTAGATTCCAAGTTGTTTCAGAGCCCTAATAGATTACCATTCGAAAACAAAAATTCAGATGAGTTCCCTGAGCAGGATTCTACGAGCTTGAACAGAAAACTGATAGTGTTGGATCAAAAAGTTAGTGATATAGACGATAAACTCAGTATTTTGAAGAATCAGTTGGATACTAATTCTCTACAGGGGGAAGATATCAATGCAGAAGCCAGTGAGAAACGTTCGGTCAGTATGAATGTTGTGGAAATCACCAAAGCCCTCAACACCGAAGTGATCAATCATGTGACTAAGGAACTCGGTCAGTTGAAAGAAGTCACTGTTGGAGTGGACAGGAAATTGCAGTTCCACATCAACCTAGTTCAGGAAAACTTGGGAAAGGTTTTGAACATGATGACAGATGTGCATCATGCCATAGTTGGTGATCCTAAGGGGTACGGCACCTATTACTATAACACAAGTGCAACGACTACAACTCAGAGACCTGATTCATCCAAAGCCAATAAAATCGATAATCTGGTGCAGCAAATCAAGCCAATAATTACAGTTTCGGAAAAAATGGAGGAAGTCTGGAATGTGGTGGTAGGAACGAAGAGTTCCGTAGACGATTTGGTTCCAAAATCTGACGAGCTCCTCACTCAAACACAAAGACAGGAAAGAGCTATTGGTGAAATTCACAATGACTTGAGAACTAAAACCAACAAGATCATTGCCAATTTGGATAAGGTTGAAAAAAGGCTCAAAAAGCAAGAGGACGATGTTGCCACTTTGGCACAAAAGCCCGTTCCCGCTGAAATTTTATTAGATCCATCTCTCGAGAATATAAACGGCTATGAATCAACAGGGTTTATCGAAGATTACGTTACGGATACCACGTTGCCAGTTGGCTACACCACTTTGCCTCCACCTTTAATTCAAACATCAGGCCAGAATAACTTCAACCAAGTTAGTGGATCTGGTGGTACTTCTGAGAAGAGAGTGGAGAAGAGGAAGGGAGGTGTTATTTTTCCTAGTGTTAAAAAGAAGCCCACGAATGTTAATTCAACTTTCATTACTTCAGATGTTTCCCAGGGACTGAAGGACGTAAAGGTGAGTTTTTGTTTCTTTGTTAATTATGTGAATTATGATACATTTTGAAACTTCAAAAGGCAGCTCAGAGTTTTTCGAAATAATGTTGATATTGGTGTTTAACCTGAAAAGTTTTCAGATATAACGCATAAATTCTTCATTGGCTGAATGAAATATTATAAGAGTATTCTGAAACATTTTTCAAGTATGATTTTATAACTTTCCACTCAACGCCCTTGCAGTGACAGCACCTTTATTGAAATTTTTAATTGGAACCGGTACATGTGAAAGCTTAATTTTCTATCCACCAATATGAGGTTTATGGAATTACTCTGTATTCTCTGTTGACAAATATTATATTTTCAATATCACTACGCAAAAATAAAATTGAAAAGTTTCGAAAAATATTGCAAAAAATACAAATAACTCGAGCGAGTTCATGTGTTATCAAAAAATATGATCCTTCAAATGATGTACTCGTGCCCTCGTTCATTTTACAATATGAAAAAATGCTGTCATTTCCAAGAAGTTAACTTCACCTGAAGATAATAGTTAATACAGGGTGTTTCAAATTCGATCCTCACCATTGGGATCTCGGAAACTATGAGAGATACAAAGATGGTTAAAATGGGGCAAAGTTGCGCATTAACCTCACTAACAATATTCCGTTGAGAAAGTTCTGAAATTCCGAGTATACCCGATAAAAACAGAAATTTCGGAAAATGGTATTAATTTTTTGTGGCATTATTTTTCGAAGGGTTCGAAAATAAATTGCATTTCCACGTTGCCACTCTTTCCCTACTACATAATGGTGTTTTCAGATTTGCTTTCCGACGTTTCGTCTTCCGGTCACCATCATCAACTTAATTTTTTCTTACGGGCAATACATTGGATTCTTTCTGTTCTGAATGAAACCTGATTTTATTTTTTCAATGATGTACCATAAGTTATCATTCTTTCTCGAAAAATTGGAAACATTGAAAAAAATTCATTCATATCATAATAGGCTTTGACTTTGATGTTTCTAAATATGACTTTCAATTTGTTACACTCAATGACGATTTGTTATTGTACAAGTCATTGACTTTTTGGCGAAAAATGGCTTTCACGAATGAAGAAAAACGAAATATGATACAAATGTATTACAAATAGGACAGAAACAGTGGTAGGACATTGGAAATGTATTTAAACTTATATCCCAAAAGACAACAACCGCATCGAACTATGTTCAAGTTATTGGATCAAAATCTCACCTGGTTTGGTTCATTTGAAAAGCCGAGGAAAAATACGGAGACGAAATTGACCAGGAAGCTATAGAATATTTGATAAATGCATGAGGTAACTTAGACATTGTGTCGTTTTTAATAAAAATTAATAATTTGTAGATGAACATGAACCTGGGGAAATGTATACGTCAAATTTCCTCCGAAACGAATATTTGTCATACAAGTGCTAGAAGACATCTAAAAAAAGCAAAAAAGCGAAAGGCGATTAGAATTTTGTAATAGGCTAATAGGAAGACCTGATTTTCCTGTTTTCCTGGAAAATGTAATTTGAACAGATGAAAGCACTTTTACGAATTGTGGGATATTCAACCGAAATAACGAACACAATTGGAGCATAAACAACCCCAAGCAGTTCCAAAAAATTCGACCTCAAGTGGGAATTAGACTTAAATGTCATGGATACATTTTTATAGAGTACACTGAAAAATAGAGTTTATGGTCAAAGGAAATATCAAAATATTGAGGACCTTCAACACAGCATTGTTAGAGAGTTAGGAAGATTGATGGGGAGGGAAATTAATCGAGCAGTGAATAATATTCGAAGAAGGGCACAGTTGTGTTATCATGAGGCCAGCATTTTGTGCATTTGCTGTGATTCACTTTTGTTTCTAAATTTCACTTAATTATTGTTATTTGTTCAGAGTTCTATTTTCATTGAAAAGGACACAATGTCTAATTTACCTCATACACACCTCATTTATCAAATTTTGATTGTAGATTCTGTCACCGTATTTTTTTGTTGGCTTTTCAAACGAACCAAACTCGGTGAGATTTTGATCCAATAACTTGAACATAGTTCGATGTGGTTTTCGTCTTTCGGGATACAAGTTTAAATACATTTCCGATGTCCTAACACTGTTTCTATTGTATTTGTAATAAATTTGTATCATATCTCTTTTTTCTTCATTCGTGAAAGCAATTTTTCGCCAAAAATTTAATGACTTTTACAATAACAAAATGTCATCGAGTTTAACAAATTGAAAGTCATATTCAGAAACATCAAAGTCAAAGCCTATTATGATGATACTTAATTTTTTTCAATGTTTTCAATTTTTCGAAGAAGAATGATAACATTATGAATGAAGTTAAAATCTGGTTCTATTCGAAACAGAAAGAATATAATGTGCGCCCATAATAAAAAAAATAAAGTTGATGTTGGTGGTCGGAAGACGAAACGTCAGATAGCAAATCTGAAAACATCATTATGTTGCAGGAAAAAAGTGGCAATATGGAAGTTCAATTTATTTTCGAATCCTTCGAAAAATAAAGCCAGAAAAAAAATTAAAACCATTTTCTGAAATTTCTGTTTTTTTTTCCGGATATACTCGGAATTTCAGAACTTTCTCAACGGCATATTGTTAGTCAGGAAAATTTGCAACTTTGCCCGGAATCAACAATCATCATATCTCTCATAGTTTCCGTGATCCCAATGGTGAGGATTGAATTTGAAACATCCTGTATTGTCCATCAATTCATATTTTTCAATTCCGTTGTTATCGAGTCTACGAAGCTGATAAATGACGTTAAAATTTGTATGAGATAAAAAGTATAACTGGAACTGAAAGACTATTGCATTTCTGATAAAATACACTAAAATGTGCGGGGTATTTAACCAAGTCATTTAATCTGTGACCGATGTAACTTCATTTTATATCTATATTTTTTTGCAGTTTGCTCCAAATGAAAATCTTCCAATGATATTTTTTATATATTGAAGAACAAAATGAATTTTGAAGTATTTTATGTATCACGTCGAAAGTATTGGAAAAAAACTGAATTTATTAGGCTTGTGAAAGAAAAAAAATCATACAGAGACATGAAAGAATTCGTACACGGTATTAAAAACTATGATTTAGTAAATCAATTTCAGATTGCGTTCGAAAACATGGGTTTTATATTTCTTTAGGAGAAATGAGTGGAGAACTAGCTTGTTGAACATTCTCAATACCAAACAAAATCGTGATTCGGCAGTTAGGTAGTGTTTATAAGGTTTCACATAAAGGTTATTAAGATTTCACGTATTGATTTAATCATAGGAGATATGTCGTCTAAATTTCAACTGGTCACTATAGAAAAACACACATTCCAAATGTAAAGAAATCCACATCCCTTGGTGGTGGATGTCATCCCTTTTCGCGGGTGAAAAATGTTTCATTGAAAATGAAATGAAAGTCATTTTTTTTTCGAATTATGTGTTTTTTCAACTCAAAAAGTAAAAATCTAAAACAATTATTCTGAGTATAAATGTAGTTCATGAAAAACAGAAAGAATGATGAGTTTATGGTGTCTGTAGATCCAATAAAAATGGAGTATGAGCTTGTTGAAGGTTGGTTATTATTCGTCAAATGACAAAACTGAAATAAAATTGACATAACAGAAAAAACAATCCGGTAAAACTCAAATGACTTTTCTTGTAGATCTTGGAATAAAAACTCATTTTCATTATTTATAATACTCCCTTGTATCGACACTAAGCAAGTTAAGGCAATAATAATGTTGGCTCCATTTTTTTTCGGTGACAAAAAGATGTAAAAATCATCTCCTAACCATCACCTCAGTTGAAGATAATCGTTACTATTTCATAGCTCATATCATTTATCTACTTGTGATTCGTTATAGGGAGTTCAAACGCCCAGTTTTGAAGAAAACCGAGTTCGAAGTTTTTTGTAAATTAGCAAAAATTTCCTTTTCTTCAAAAACTGTTGGGTATCATTTCGGACAGATATCAGAAATTGATTTGAAAATGTTGAAATGATCATATCCTGAAGATGCAACTGTTGTTAGTTGTTTAGTTTGCATTTTTGTATTTTTTGTTGTTGTTTTTTCACGTTGAACATTAATTTCCCCGAGTGAATATGAATGACCAACAACAGCAGAATACCAACAACTCAATTGTGCAAATTTTAACATCGTAACAATCACCCACATTTCATATAAGTTCATCTTATCTCATTCAACAATTCAGCAAGTACTTTCCATTTCAAATAATTGTTGTTCGACTGACCTCGTACATCGCTACTGATGAGTTAAAGACCCACTGTTGTAAATACTTCCGTTAATAATAAACACATCAATAGAAAAGCATTCAGTATGCGTCCTGTACGATTTAATTGGAAAGATTTACGGCACTAGATTAATGTCTTGAAAGATTTACTGGATTAATATACGGTACATAATTTGAATTCGAACAATAATCAAATGAAGTGACATTATAATTCAATATTAGAAAGTTGATATGAGTATATAGGGAAACATCTAGATTCTAGATGATGGATATATGGAAAATATCGAGATCAGCTTGAAACACCTGATACAGGCATTTGTTCCTATCTTGACCGCTCCTTTATGTCATATATCAAATACTACGACATAAACTTCTCAACAGCAGGATGAAAACTCATCGGCAAATAATGGACCCGTCTAAAGTATCCATTCAGAGTTCGTTAATCGAGTTTATTACTCACAGAAAAATAATTGTTTGAATTCATTTTGATTTTTTTAAGGAGAAAAGACAGGCACTACAGAAAAATTCTTAAGGCGCTCTAAGAGCGGTGCCTGTGCGAAAGTAGCGATTCACATTGGATTTGAATCGCTGGAGATTGGATCCATTTGGAAAAACGTTCTCACGAAGTTTATTCCACATAAACGTAGTTTTCCAAATGGAAGAATTCTTGAACAGTGAAGTGATATGTACCTGTCTTGATAGAATCAAATGTGCCAAGTCACTTGAACACT